AACAATAACAGCACAATAGAAAATAACCAGACATTTTTTTTTTAAAAAAAAAAAAAAATAAAAATAAAAATAAAAATAAAAATAATTATTATTTCCTTTTTTCTGTTTTCAATTTTTTGGTTAAAGTTATCGCTATTCTCACCAAACCCAAGAGTTCCAAGTGGAAGGACGAATAGACAGACACGCAAAGCGCCCGACAGATAAATCCAACGGATGCTGTACCGAAAACGGTAGTGTGGATACAAAACAAATGACACCGCGGACGATGGGAGAGAGAACCTACTACTTTGTACTAACCACCCGTAGGGGTAAATCGGCGCAGGTCACTAAGCCGCAGTTTGAGGGGCTTGCGTTGTTCCACAGCCCAGAGACGCTGAGAAGAGCGATTTTGTCTCGCTTTTAGTAGTTGCTGAAGCTTCTAGGAGACCAATAGAGTGGCCTGCTCAAAAACTCGTTGGCCGTTGAAGTTTGAATTCCTCGACCAAGGTTCATTAGGTAGGACTTTCATCCTTGTCCCTGGAAATGATGGTCGAGTAGTTTGCTTTTCGATGACGGTGTGGGTGTAGTGGAGGCTTCTTGGACGCACGGGACTGTCAACGTTCCAGTCACTCTGAGACATCATTTTAACATGATACACGTCGGCGGTACATTATATGTGAATTCATGGCTCGAAGAAAAAGAAGAGGAAAGTAAATAAAAAAAGAAAAATAAGGAAGGAAAAACAAAAAAAGAAAAGAAAAGGGGTGTGGGCGATTGAGCAGGTACTCGAGAGTGTAATGCACGACGACTTACGATGCATGAAGCTCAGATAACTTGAACTCATGCATCATCATCTTGGACCCGAGAGTCTGGGAAGCGGTGAGATGATCACCTGCAACCGATCACACTTGCCTATTACTTACTCCGTACAAATCACATGGGCATGGACTCGGCGCCGTCGTACAGAGTGGGCACTTACGGCCACGCGGAAAGTATGGGATGTGTTCCCGGCGATGCATGGACTACTTGCATGCGTATGTACAGGAACCACGGCGCTTGGGGTAGAGTCACGGCGACGACTTCCAATGGTGTTGATGATCAAATTGACACATTTTGGATAATCCCTTTGTTTACCCTCAGCAGTACCTAAGAAACGCTACCGATATATCTGACTCAATTCAAACGTCATGTGTGATGTCCACTTGAATACGGAGTAGAGATCGAGTATGGTAATGAACATTGTACTGCGTATTTACGTAGTAGGCGCCTGATACGTAGTGCAGACGGGAAGGTCTGTATGTAACATTGTATTGTTATGTATAACTTAAGAAGAGAGAAGCTAGTGCCAGGCAGAGTAGGTACAGTGCTAAGAAAAATCCTGGGGGGAGAGTAGGGAAAAAAGGGTAAATTGAAAAAAAAAAAAATTAAATAAATAAATTCTACCCACAATCCGGCATAGTTTCATACGAACTTCATGGTCGATCCGCGCCAGAGCGGCTGCACGCAATGCCGTCCGGTGATTAGTGACCCTGCGGAAATGGAGGGTTGGGGCCAATTCTGGTTTGTTTTTTTTCGGGCGCTACTTGAAGGGGAGCCACGCCCGAAGCTTCGAATCCTGCAACCACAGTGCTGGTACCGCTGCCTGACGCTTGTGAGCCTGAAATCGAGGGCAGCGATTGTTCGGTTCCGGAGATATTTTATCTTAGTGGCCCACGAGCAAACTTTCAGTCACTTCACTAAGTGTGGGAGGCGGTCCGCATCCCGCCCGGAAGTCACTTTTCGCTTCTCGGTTAGACCCATAGGTCTGCATTTGCTCCAACTTACAAAGACAAGGTAGTACTGACGACTGTGGTGGGAACCTTTTTCACCCCGCCGACACAGTGACAGTAGCAGCGCAAAGAAATATGGAACAACGCTTTACACCGTACGCAGTGCAAAAACCTTTTATGTGTGTGTCTCCCCCCACATCACGGTCGTTGTAAATTACCAGGGGAACAGGATATTGGCATTCATCTATGTCTTCTAAAATTTTCTTATTTACTTGCTTTAACTATTGATTCATCCTATTTATTAATTCATTAATCCAATTTTTTCTTAAGATAATGATTTTGGAAAATCAAAAAAATGGGACAAATCATCGAGTTATCCTCCCCGAAGCCCTTCCTATAATACCTGACCAACTCACCACTATCAGCCTAAGAATCGATCGAACCCTCTACTAGTACCAATCTACCCCGTACATGGATCCTTTTGACAAGACATAATCTAAATTAAGATTTCACTGTGGCTTTGTACTTAATCATAATGTCTTTACCATCTAATTCCCCATGGATTTTTAGCTGATAATTTAGACTACGCGTTCAGACCGAGTTATGGACAATTTTGGAGTAAGGAAAGATAGAAAGAGGCGAAAGAGAGAGGGAAAAAAGGAAAAAACCGCGGGCTAATGTGTGCCCAGCCATCTATACCTTGTATGATGTATGTATAATGCACAAAGATAACTGTACATGTATGTATGTACATACATATACCATACATACCTTATGATACATCGATACAGGGTATCTTTACATACCTCTTATGTGTACCTGTATGTATGTATGTATGTATGTATGTTGCCATTCATGCACATACATGACATGAACACAAACACACCTAGATCATATCTGAATTGTGCAACCGGCTGGTCAAGATCCATGGATATTGAATGGGCGCTACCAGAGTCATTCAGGCTAGTAACCACTAAAAGATAATCCATGTAGGGTTGTTGATGACGGACAGGTACTATTTAGGGGATATACCATGGTTTATGGAGGGGCTGTTTTAACCTTTCCAGCCAATGAATTCGATGAGATACCAACCACAGCATCCATTTCAAATCGACACTCTCTGTAGCCGGGTACCTTCACTTAGAGGGGAATAGTTTGTTAGATTGTTGAATCACACGCTAATAGAACGTACACTCATATAGCCCAGCACTGCTCACTCCTTTGCGGTTGAAAGAGAGGTATAGATATTATTTTATATATCTCTATATATATATATATAACAAAAAAGAGAAAAAGGAAGAGAACATTACGAAAAGAATACCGGCCCATGCAAGGCTGTCGCCTCAGGCTTCTTCCATAGCCGCCCCGCCCTCTCGCACCCGTGGGCCCAACGGGGACAAGACAGCGGCTGCAACAACCTTAAAGACAGGCTTTCCATTACAGGGCTTCTTCTCGCTTCCCCTCGTCCACCACTACGTACCAATTCTCGCCCCCCTCAGGGCTCCGCTCATTAATCTTCTCTTCCGTGGTATAGTGCTGGATGAATCTGTCCCAATTGATGACTTTGGATCGACCACCCATCCATGGTTAGCCGTGACAACTCCAGTCCGTTGTTGACGATTTGCGCCCAGTGATTGCTTGCGCCGTGACCGCTACTTCTCTGTGGATTTGCCGACTGGCATCGCTTCATCGCGGGGAGACAGCACGGCGTGCTCTATTATTATTTCTTCGCTTGTCGGTACTTTTGGCTGGCCACCGTCTTGGTTTTCCCGTTTCTGCCTTTTTGTGTTTAAGTGGACGTGACCATTGCCTCTCTGCCTGGTCCTATCTCCAACTTTTCTATTTTTTTGTTTTTTTCTCCCTTTTTTTCCTTTTGTTTTTTTCCCTCTTTACTTTTCTGATTCTCCCCCTGAATCCTCGTCTTTCCTTCTAATACTGCGAATGATATCTTATGTTTCGCTTTTCACTCCCTTAAAATTCATGAATGAACTTGCCGTCCATTGACTCGGCTCAGCCCCATTCTACTCTATGTTTTATTCGTCACTCAATATATATACCATATACACGACCTACAAGTGTCCACGCTACTGACCTCGTTGCCATCGACGCCGGCATTCTTCCCCTTGTCACCATCTTAAAGTACCAAACTTCTTGCCGACTCTTCCTCACCACACGGGATGTTTGGAAACGGCCAGGCTGGTCAGCGCCTCCCGGCGATGGCCTCACCACCACACGATTCGTATTACTCACAGTCATTAGCATCTAGTCGATCAAGAAATAACTCAGATGCCATGGATATCTACGCCATTACAGACCGAGACCCCCAAGCACGAGAACCCTCTGGTTATAGCCAGTGGTACCGTAATGGTTCTCCAAGTGTGAATTCCATTAATAGCAAGTAATTCTTCCCTTTTTCCTTAATCTCCTGTTGAATTTCTTTCTGGGCGGCGTCAGCTATTCACTCTGCCGTAGCTGTTATCGTTGGACGACTAATGTTCTTCTTTGTTGTTACTGTTTCTCTCTAGGAGTTCTGAAAACAAGCCTGTCTATGAAGAAAACGGACGAATGTATCATGCGTACCGCAAAGGGGTATATATGTTACCATGCGATGAGCAGGAGCAAGATCGCCTTGATATCTTCCACAAATTGTTCTCGGTGGCAAGGGTGTCGGATGGCTTAATGTACGCCCCGCATCCCAGAAATGGCCGATTCTTAGACTTGGGCTGCGGGACCGGGATATGGGCAATTGATGTTGCCAACAAATATCCAGACGCTTTCGTTGTTGGGGTCGACCTTGCTCCCATACAGCCCCCAAATCACCCAAAGAATTGCGAATTCTACGCCCCGTTCGACTTCGAGAGTCCTTGGGCGATGGGTGAGGACTCTTGGGACCTGATTCACCTGCAGATGGGATGTGGAAGTGTGATGGGGTGGCCGAACCTGTACCGGAGAATATTCGCTCACCTTCGACCTGGGGCTTGGTTTGAACAGGTGGAGATCGATTTTGAACCGCGTTGCGATGATCGTCCTCTCGAGGGATTAGCTATTCGACAGTGGTACCAACTTCTAAAGCAAGCTACACAAGATGCGATGCGACCTATTACCCACAATTCTCGTGACACAATCCGAGATCTGCAGGAAGCGGGTTTTACTGATATCGATCATCAAATGGTGGGGTTGCCCCTTAACCCATGGCATCAAGATGAGCACGAAAGAAAAGTTGCTCGCTGGTACAATTTGGCTGTCTCGGAGAGTATTGAATCACTCAGTATGGCGCCCTTCAGTCGTGTGTTTGGTTGGGACTTGGACCGAATCCGGCGCATTTCATCAGAAGTCAAGTCGGAGGCATTCAACAAAGAACTACACGCCTATAATATTCTTCATATATACCAAGCACGGAAGCCTTCTGCGAATTGATTCTTTCTACCGACGTGCGCACGATGGACCATCCAAAAATGCACCAGCAGCGTTACTAGTGCCCAGGCTCCGAGTTATGGAAGGGCGAAATCACCGTTCACGCAATTTCCTATCTGCTCTTCTCATGAGTCCTCTTTATATGCTGGGGTTTGATATGAATATGTGTGGTGCCAGTTTTTTTAGCTTGCACACAACTGTTCTGAGCAGTCACTTGCATACTGCAAAAGCAAAATCCAGCTCATATTGGGTCTACGATCTCTACCTATTTGGAAAATTCAGTGCGTTGTGAGAGCTCCATTTCTGGGTATTTGGTTCAAGACGTCCTGTTTATGCTGTTGGTTATAGCAGACGAATGATGCACCGAACTGCCTGTATCACTCCAGTAACACCTACAAGCTTGATGGAAATATACTAAGCTTGCTTTGATTATGTCATACCTCTCGGTTTGGAGGCGGGCATTCGCAAAATCAATATCTGTTTGAGCATGAGGCCGGCGTGTCTTGTGAAGGGGCCTAAGCGAAACACCCAAGCCAAACAGGCACGTCAAAAGATCTTTTGACCCAAAAGATACAGTACATGCAGCTCTTCTCCCTATGGACAAACCAAGGGGACTGCAGAATATTGGCAGGTCATTCGCACACGGCATGACACGCCCTATGGTCTATGCCTCCTCTTAACCTGGTTGTGGCTCCTCCGTCGCACTTTTCAGGACATATCAATCCCTGACATTGTACGCGTTCCCGCTTGCCAAAGACAATATATTCATGGCGTTTGGGGTGAGTGTATTGTTGTAATTGTATACCCAGTTCATTTCATTCTGTCAGTGACGACATCATCCAATCATTGCCATGTTTTTATACGAGATTTCAATATAGCATGATATCACCTAAAAAGAACATAAAAAATTATATAATACAATGGGAAGAATTCTCCATATAATCTTTTGCAAGTCCTCACTACCAGCTAACAAGATCCGGAAATGCAAGTGTGAGATACCAGTTTCCGGGTATTTCGCCAAACGCCTCGATAGCCTTCAAGACACCCACCCACCCAATGACCCAAAAGACAGATGCTCCGGTAAATTATCTAATATCATGATGCGAACTCATACGGTGATATCATTTCAACGCCGGCGGCCCTTTTGTCCCCGGGAGGTACCATTTCTACCTCCAGTAGTTTCTTTCTCCCCATCTCCGTTGGCCCAGTCACGGCCAGCGCCGGGGCTACGTCTCCGCATTGTTCCGGGTCCCACGGCAACGATATCCTCCTCACTTTCGCTGTCGGAGATATCTAGAAGAACAGGCATGCGGAAGGATTCTATCTCTTCATCCGTGCCACTTTTGTGGGGCTCGATGGTTAACACGTCGGGAACTTCGTCTTCCTGATCAAGCCGACGTTGGTGGATTTCTTCGGCAGGGTGAACGTCGAATTCGTCTTCGCGTTCAACATACTCGACGTTCTCCTCAACTTCACCGAAATCAGGCGCTAGCGCGGACCATTTTTGAGGCGTCACAATCGACCATGTGTAGATACATCCAGATTCCAAACCACAGGCGACTACCATAGGGCGAGAAGGGTGCCATTCTACAACGCCCAGTTCTTCTCGAGGACCCTCGAGGATCTTCACCAGGGAACCGTGACTCCGTTCCCAAACGTATATGTCAGGGTTCATGAAGGTGGATGCGGTAACGAATTCGCTTGTCGAAGAAAAGGTGACATGGTTCCAGCTTAGTCGGTTGACCACGTCCTGGAACTTATGTTCGACTTGAAGCTTGATGTTGGCGGGTTCTAAGTCAATACCTAGCTGGGACAGGTCTGGCATGAGGATGGTGCGTATCACTCGATCGGAGCTATTAACAAGCAGGTCTCGGCCGTTGCTGGCGAGGCGAAGTAGGATCACCACTCCATTACAAAGACGCGTAGAATGAATTGTCGCGCATGTTTGTGTTTCAATGATGTTGATCCACCCTTTAGATGTACCTGCTATAATGTGATTTCCTAAAGCAGTAAAGATGGTAACACATGTTGAGTGCTTCGCGTCTTGGGCTGCCTGCTTTGCGGCCACAGCGGGGTCAACTTCTTCGGATTTAGGAGGCGGGGGTCGAAATGGAGCGGAGGGAAGAATACGCTTAATGGGCTTAGGAGATGAGACGTCCACTAAAACAGGCTGGTCCTCAAAGAGAGAGGCAACGAAAAGTAAACTAGGCAATCGAAAAGCTTTAGCATGTGATGTCGCGAAAGAAACGCGATGCGGTTTTCGGAAGAGACTCACTGATTATAAGGATGTAATTCAGCAATATATACAGGAGCTTCAAATCGGACCGTGCGTACTCGGGAACCATCTTTCAAGTCCCACAGGATACACTTCCAATCTTGTGATGAACTGAGTAGATAGCGACCATTCCTTGACCAACTGCATGTCGGTTTATAGTCAGTCTTTCTGCTCGAGCAGTGTTTCGTAACATAATGCACGTACCTCAGGGACTGAATTTGTCTAGTGTGACCTCGTAGTTTCCGCGCAACCCCATTTGTCTCTAAATCAAAGATCACCACTGTGCCGTCAACCTGTATGGGGGTCAATAGGATATCGCAATGATAGCGGTTATTTATTGATTGACTAACTCGTCCGGAGGCTAGATAATCTCCCTTGCGGTTGAATCGTAGACATGTCGCATGACCGCTTCCTGCAACTGTCAGCGAAGGATTATTGGTAAAAGCGGGATTGACATGGTATACTCAGTTTCTCTGTAAATGTGTCGGGATAGTCCTGCGCCAGGACAAAGGGATCAAGAAGGGACAAATTCATTGCGCTGAGCCAAGTATCGACATGCGCTCGGGACAGAGTGAGGGGAAAAGTCAACACAAGAGTAACGAGAGGTTCGGGATGAACCCAGCCCAGACTAAAGGCCAGGAGAAATGAGTGAGAGCAATCATTCAATCTTCATTTGGTGACCACTGATATAGTCTCTGCGCGGGGAGATTCACAGTAGATGAGCAAATGCTGAAGATTAGAAACAGGCTGGTGGGCGGTGAGAGGTCGTTTAGAAAGCAAAGCGGGCGCCCCACAATAGCCTGAATTGAAGCTTAATAATTGGCTAAATCTGGAATAACACGGCCAATCTCTGCTGGGGACGAGTCTTAGCATCACTGACTTTTAGTGAGTGCCACGCTAGCCGCAGGCTGCGGCTCAGAAAACTCGTGCCCCATCGGCGACAACCTGACGTCCAACCATCTCCCTTTCATCACCTCGATACACTGCTTTCCCATCCCCCAACGTCCCCGATCATCGCGTTTGGCATCGCGATATCGTTTTGCGAGTCGGAGAAGTCGCCAAGATCGACCGTGAATCTTTTACCTCCGCCCTTTTTCGACTTTCGCGACGTCGGAGAACAAGGTCGCAGGCGCCCTCGTGGCAAGGGCTGCCAAAGGCCTCACCCGGCCAGCTGCTTGCAATTTTTTTCATCGTCGCTTCTGCACGCCTGAATAATTGACAGAATAGAGCTATCTGAGTTGTTTCTCAGCAGTATTTCAACCTTAGATCTGTTCGACTCGTGATTCAGCCCATCTCTCGAGTGACACGTTTCCGCGACAACAGCCATCATGTCGAACGTCTACTTTCCCTATTCCAAGGCGCCTTTGCGCACCATCAAGGAAATTCAGTTTGGTCTCTTCTCACCTGAAGAAATTAAACGAATGAGTGTGGTCCATGTGGAGTATCCAGAGACTATGGTTTGTTTTTCCCCATCGTTTTTTCCTGACCGCCTGGCTATGATCGCCTCTGACCGAGTGTAAAATCAGGATGAGCAAAGGCAACGGCCGCGGACAAAAGGTCTGAACGATCCTCGCTTGGGAACCATCGATCGGCAATGGAACTGCGAGACTTGTGAGGAAGGCCAGAAGGAATGTCCGGGACATTTTGGACATATTGAGCTTGCCACTCCTGTTTTCCATATTGGTATGTTAATATATTCCGCTGTAGTATATTCAGGGGTTATTGCTAACGTCCACTCATAGGTTTCTTGACGAAAATCAAGAAGCTACTTGAGACGGTCTGCCACAATTGTGGAAAGATCAAAGCCAACACGGTTAGTCATCCCTCACGGGATGGCAAATCAAATATGGCAAATTTGCTGACTTGAAACCAGTCTGATTCCAAGTTCCTTGAAGCCCTACGCATGAGAGATCCGAAGAGACGTTTCGACCACATCTGGCGACTATCGAAAGATGTCACGATATGTGAAGCTGACCCTCCTCCGGATGAGGACGAACCGTATGCGAAAGAGAGCTCCAAACCAACGAGAATGCACGGCGGGTGCGGAAATGCCCAACCGACTATTCGCAAAGAGGGAATCACCTTGGTGGGGACATGGAAACCTAGCAAGAGTATGATGGACGAGATGGATATGCAGCAGCCAGAGAAGAAGACAATCACTCCCCAGATGGCTCTGAACATCTTCCGTAACATCTCTCACGAGGATGTTCGTATAATGGGGTTGAGCAATGACTATGCTCGCCCTGAGTGGATGGTTCTCACTGTCTTGCCGGTGCCGCCGCCCCCTGTCCGTCCCAGTGTGCTTGTGGGTGGTAGCACCAGTGGCCAGCGCGGTGAGGATGATCTGACATACAAGCTGGCTGAAATTGTTCGGGCAAACCAGAATGTCCAGCGTTGCGAACAGGAAGGCGCTCCAGAGCACGTGGTTCGGGAGTTCGAGTCTCTACTGCAGTATCATGTCGCCACGTACATGGACAACGATATTGCTGGCCAGCCAAAGGCGATGCAGAAGTCAAACAGACCGGTGAAAGCTATTCGCAGCCGTTTGAAGGGTAAAGAAGGTCGTTTGCGACAGAACTTGATGGGTAAGCGTGTGGATTTCTCAGCTCGTACTGTCATTACGGGTGATCCCAACCTGTCCCTTGATGAGGTTGGTGTGCCAAAAAGTATCGCAAGAACTTTGACATACCCCGAAGTTGTCACGCCGTACAACATCGATAAATTACAGCAGCTCGTCTCGAATGGTCCCAACGAGCACCCTGGAGCAAGGTATATTGTGAGAGATAACGGTGAACGTATTGATTTACGCCATGCTAAACGAGCTGGAGGCCAACAACTACTGTACGGATGGAAGGTAGAGCGTCATGTCATGGATGGTGATGTGATTCTTTTCAATCGGCAGCCCTCACTTCACAAGGAGTCTATGATGGGTCACCGCGTCCGCGTTATGCCGTACTCCACATTCAGGCTCAACTTGTCTGTGACAACTCCTTACAACGCCGATTTTGACGGTGATGAGATGAACTTGCATGTTCCTCAAAGTGAAGAGTCTCGCGCGGAACTACTCCAGCTTGCTCTGGTTCCTATGAACATTGTATCCCCCCAGCGAAACGGACCTCTTATGGGTATCGTACAGGATACTCTCTGCGGTATCTACAAGATTTGTCGGCGTGATACATTCTTGACAAAGGAGCAAGTAATGAATCTTATGATGTGGGTTCCTGATTGGGACGGCGTTATCCCCCCGCCAGCAATTCTGAAACCTAGGCCCAGATGGACTGGTAAGCAAATTATTAGCATGGCGCTTCCTTCAGGGCTCAATCTTCTCCGTGTGGATAAGGACAACTCCGCGCTCTCTGAGAAGTTTGCCCCTCTGAATGATGGTGGTCTTCTCATCCATGGTGGACAGTTGATGTATGGAATGTTTTCAAAGAAGACTGTCGGTGCCAGTGGCGGTGGTGTCATCCACACCATTTTCAATGAGTATGGACCAGGAACTGCTGTGGCCTTCTTCAACGGTGCACAGGCTATTGTCAACTACTGGCTGCTCCACAATGGTTTCAGTATTGGTATTGGTGACACCATCCCAGACGCAGTCACTATACAAAGAATTGAGAACTGCGTCCGGGAACGAAAGAAGGAGGTTGAAACTATTACTGCAAGTGCTACGGACAATACCCTGGAGCCGTTGCCTGGTATGAACGTACGAGAAACCTTTGAAAGTAAGGTATCGCGTGCACTTAACAATGCTCGTGACGAAGCTGGTAGTGAAACTGAAAAGAGCTTAAAGGATCTGAACAACGCCATCCAGATGGCTCGTTCTGGATCAAAGGGATCAACCATCAACATTTCGCAGATGACTGCTGTTGTGGGTCAACAATCCGTCGAGGGTAAACGTATCCCGTTCGGTTTCAAGTATCGTACTCTGCCCCATTTCACAAAGGATGACTATTCTCCAGAATCCCGTGGTTTTGTGGAGAACTCCTACTTGCGTGGGTTGACGCCCACTGAGTTTTTCTTCCACGCCATGGCTGGTCGTGAGGGTCTTATTGATACAGCTGTCAAGACCGCAGAAACTGGCTATATTCAGCGAAAGCTGGTTAAGGCCTTGGAAGAAGTAATGGTGAAGTACGATGGTACTGTCCGTAACTCTTTGGGAGATATTATACAGTTTATCTACGGAGAAGATGGCCTTGACGGTGCTCATATTGAGAACCAACGAGTTGACGTCATTAAATGCTCTGACGACAAGTTTAGAGACCGTTTCCGTGTCGATCTCATGGACCCTGAGCGCAGCTTAGGTCCAGAGGTCTTGGAACAGGCCAATGAGATTGCAGGCGACGTCGAAGTCCAGAGATATCTGGATGAAGAGTGGGAGCAACTTCTCAAAGACCGTGCTTTCCTCCGTACTGTGGCTAAGGAAGACGAGGAGATGATGCAGCTTCCAATCAACGTCCAGCGAATTCTCGAGATGGCCAGGACTACGTTTAGGATCCGCGAGGGAACAATCAGCGATCTGCACCCAGCAGAAGTTATTCCTCAGGTGCAAGCATTGCTTGATCGGCTGCTTATCGTGCGCGGTGATGATGTGATTTCTCGGGAAGCCCAGGAGAATGCCACACTACTGTTCAAGGCGCAACTTCGGAGTCGCTTAGCGTTCCGAAGACTGGTCACCGAGTACTCTATGAATAAACTTGCGTTCCAGCATGTTATTGGAGCTATCGAAATGAGGTTCGCTAAAGCTAACGCTCCTGCTGGTGAAATGGTTGGCGTTCTCGCTGCCCAGTCTATTGGAGAGCCAGCTACACAGATGACTCTGAACACTTTCCACTTTGCTGGTGTCTCGTCAAAGAACGTCACACTTGGTGTCCCCCGTCTGAAGGAAATTCTCAACGTTGCAACCAATATCAAGACGCCTTCTATGACGGTTTACCAGGAGCCCGGTAGGACTCATGACAAGGAGGGTGCCAAGCAATTGCGAAGCGTTGTTGAGCATACTAGCTTGCGGTCTGTTACGGAGGCCACCGAGATCTACTACGATCCCGATATCCAGTCTACGGTCATTGAAAACGACCGAGATATGGTTGAGTCCTACTTCATTATTCCCGAAGATGTGACGGATGACTCATCTCGCCAGTCCAAATGGCTACTTCGTATCATTCTCAGTCGGCCGAAGCTTCTTGACAAGGGTCTTACAGTGCAGGATGTTGCTACCAGAATTAAACAGGCGTATCCCAAGGATATCGCTGTTATCTTTAGCGACAACAACGCCGATGAGCAGGTTATTCGAATCCGACAGATCCAGGACCATAAGGAGGATGAAGACGATGATGACATTGAATACGACGTCACACTCAAGAAACTTGAGCAACATCTTCTGGATACCTTAACACTTCGCGGTGTCAACGGTGTCGAGCGAGCGTTCATCAACGAGAAGAGTAAAGTCCGAGTCCTTGAGGACGGTTCATTGTTCACCAGCAAGGTTGACCCCCTTTGCAAGGAATGGGTTCTTGAAACAAGCGGCTCTGCCCTTGGCGAGGTTTTGGCGGTTCCTGGGGTTGATGCTAGCCGCACATACTCCAACCAGTTTATCGAGGTGTTCGAGGTCTTTGGTATCGAAGCCGCCCGCACAGCTGTTCTTCGCGAATTGACACAGGTGCTTGCCTTCGATGGTTCTTACGTCAATCACCGTCATTTGGCCCTCCTGGTCGATGTCATGACTGTCCGTGGTTACCTAACGCCAGTCACACGGCATGGTATCAACCGTGCTGACAACGGTGCTCTTATGCGTTGTTCTTTCGAAGAAACGGTGGAGATCTTGTTGGAGGCCGCAGCCTTTGGAGAATTGGATGACTGCCGCGGTGTATCTGAGAACTTGATTCTGGGACAGATGGCACCTGCCGGTACTGGAGAGTTCGACATTTATCTCGATCAGAACATGCTCAACACTGTCGTTTCGAACAATGCTCGCTTTGGCGTGATGGGGGCTATCGGCGCTAAGGATGCGATCATCTCTGACGGTGCCGCCACTCAGTATGACACTGGTTCACCGATGCAGGATAACGCTTACATCGGTACACCTGATCCCGAATCGAACTTCTCTCCTATCCGCCAAGCTGGTGCTGAGTCCCCTGGCGGTTTTACTGAGTATCAGCCGACCGGTGGCTTTGGAGGCGGGTTCAGCCCAGCGGCCACGAGTCCAGCCGGCTATTCTCCCAGCAGCCCATTCAGTGCTAATCCAACATCTCCTGGCTATTCCCCGTCATCGAGCTACTCACCAACGTCTCCTGGTATGGCAATGACCAGCCCTCGTTTCTCCATGACGTCTCCGGGTTTCTCTCCTGCCAGCCCGTCATTCGCACCGACATCACCTGCTTACTCGCCAACTTCACCGGCGTATGGCCAGGCGTCGCCGACCTCACCGTCGTACTCTCCTACCTCGCCCGGGTTTTCGCCGACCTCGCCAAATTACAGTCCTACATCGCCAAGCTTCAGCCCAGCTTCGCCTGCATTTAGCCCAACGTCGCCAAGCTACAGCCCAACCAGTCCCGCTATTGGTGGTGCCGCTCGGCACCTGTCTCCTACTTCACCAACCTCTCCAAAGTATACACCCACATCTCCTGGGTGGTCTCCTACGAGTCCCCAGACATACTCTCCTACCTCACCTAATTTTGCCGGCTCGCCGACCTCACCCGGAGGACCTACATCCCCCGGTTATAGTCCGACGTCGCCGGCGTTCAGCCCTTCGTAAGTCTTGCTTTCCATGCATCATCAGCTTCGTCTTTACTGACTCGTCTCGAAGGTCCCCTCGCCAGTGAAGTTTGCTTTAATGCGTGTCTTCTCTGTATCATTGTATTATCACTTCATCGAACAGCCCACGAAAAAGAAAACATTTTGCATTCTAAGTTGCGGAATTGGTTGGTTATTTTTTTCCACAATTTGGGCGTCTGTAGCCTCGTTTTTCTTTTGCCTTCCTGCATGTATGTTTTCTTTCATGCTTCGGCCCAATGGGTTTATTCCTTATTCAATCGCCTCGGAGCCAGCTCGCTTAAATTGCGAACGAGGTTTGTGGGTTGGCCATGTTTGTTTCCTTTTCTTTCTGAGCCCTGAAATTACCAAGCGTCTTTTAGAATTGCCCCGGCCTACGAGGTTCATCACTCTAGAAGTGATTTGATCCTTTTGCATGTTGCTGTTTCCCCTGGTTTGCATGGAAGAATATGATTTTGCTACGGAGTGTATTAATGATGCGGTCACAAATCTTTCTCTTTCTCCTGTACACAGCTTTAGTGCGAATGGGGTTATGGATGCAAAGAAAAATATATAAAAAAAGCATTAAGAAAAAAATAAAAAGAGCAGCTATTATGAGATCTATTTATTTCAAGAAGAAAATCGGTACAGTGTTGAGCCTTATCAATCTCTGGGACTAGTTCTTGGTTTTGTAGTGTCGGCGAAATGAACCTCCGCATGGACAGGTGGCCCGTTCCGCCTTGGAGCTCTAAGGAAGCATGCAATGCATAACTACTTCACTAATCTTATCCGTCTGGATCTGGCGATGCTCTTCTAATCGGGGACAGTTCGCCATGTTCTTCTCACTGATCAGTATTAAAGATTCCTCGCTGACAACATGAAAAACCTGTGGTTATGGCGTTTCTTGCCTGTGGCATTTCGTGAGTGTTGGGTGCGGAGCTCAACGTTCGATTGAAGCTGACATCTCTTGATTATGGTATAGTGCTACTGCAGGTGCTTGCGGTAGAATCCAAGGCATCCACCGATGTCGCTCACGAATCATATCAGCATCCAAACCAGTCTCCAGGTGGGACAGAGAGTTCTGACGCTAGGCCTGGAAGCCGTGAGTGTCCCCTTCGGCCTAACCTGTTGTCGCTCTAAGCTAAGATAATAACGGCCTCTCTAGAACACGTTGATACCGCCCTCAGAATTCTCCGTAACTCAAAGATCCCGATTATCACGCCCGAGAAACCGTCCGGCTTCTTGGGGAACACATTACATTACTCTAAAGAGGCTTTCCGCGTCCTGTTCCTGAATGGCCCGCCGTCAGATAATGCCGAGCGGCAGAAGATACACCCAAATGTCGCAAAGGCCGTGGATGAACTTAAGATCGCTGCGCAAAAAGACCAGAACCCCGATGCGATGTTCCTGTTAGCGGAGTTGAATTTCTACGGCAACTACACGCATCCACGAGACTTCAAGCAAGCGTTCCAGTGGTATCAGAGCCTTGCTTCGGCGACTGGGAACAGTACGGCACAGTATATGGTTGGCTTTATGTATGCGACAGGTATTGGAGGTGGAGTTGAGCGAGACCAGGCGAAGGCACTATTATACCATACTTTCGCCGCGGAAGGGGGAAACACGAAGTCGGAGATGACGCTGGCATATCGAAATCATGCTGGCATTGGAATGCCCAGAAATTGCGACCATGCAACGTATTACTATAAGAAGGTTGCAGACAAGGCTATTCAATACTACCGATCCGGACCACCTGGTGGCAATAGTATGATTCGGGAATCATACCGTTGGGCTGACGAGGAGGGCGGCGTATATGGCGAAGGTGCCAGTGTCTCCAGCTCGGGACCAAATGCCATGCGTGACGCAGCACATTCAAGCACTGAAGCCAGCTTGGAAGATGTCCTAGAGTATCTAGACCTTATGTCGCGAAAGGGCGAACTAAAGGCCACCTTCAGCTTAGGAAAGATGCATTACGAAGGCTCGCGAGGTTTGCCCAGGAATCTTCGAAAGGCTATGAAGTATTTCAAACAGATCACCAAGCGCTACTGGAATAAGGACGGGTCTGTGAACCCGAACCATCCGCTTGGAATCGAGAAACTAGCATCGAAGGCAGCAGGCCATATAGGGTTGATGTACCTCCGTGGTGAAGGCGTAGAACAAAACTTTGCCACTGCCCTCACTTGGTTCAGGCGTGGAGTGACAAATGGGGATTCGCTTTGTCAACATCAAATGGGACTCATGTATCTTCATGGATATGGCGTGCAGCAGGACGCTTTCAGGGCTGCATCGTATTTCAAGTCCGCGTCTGAACAAGATTTCCCCGCTGCAGAAACAAGGCTGGGTGCTTTGTTCTTGGACCAAGGAGATGTTCCAACGGCTACCCGATATTTTGAGCTAGCAGCCCGCTGGGGCTGGATGGAGGCCTTCTATTACCTGGCAGAATTGTCCAACAATGGTATTGGTAGGGAACGACATTGTGGAATGGCTGCGTCATACTATAAGATGGTCGCAGAACGAGCCGAAGTGATACATTCATCATTCGATGAGGCGAACGCCGCGTACGAGAATGGTGACAAAGAAAGGGCTCTCGTTGCAGCGATGATGGCCGCAGAGCAAGGTTATGAGCACGCGCAATCTAACGTGGCATACTTGCTCGATGAGCAACGCTCTTTGATGTCTTTTGATCGCATCCTACCGGGTGCTAAGAAGCCTCGACCGTCTCTGCTTCGGAATGCGGCGTTAGCCCTTATCTATTGGACTCGTTCTGCCAAGCAGACAAACATTGATTCCTTAGTTAAGATGGGTGACTATTACCTGGGCGGTATTGGTATTGTTGCAGATGCTGAAAAAGCCTCCACCTGCTATCATAGTGCCGCCGAAGTCCATTATAGCGCACAGGCTTATTGGAATCTTGGCTGGATGCATGAGAATGGCATCGCCGTGGAACAAGATTTTCACATGGCCAAACGATACTATGATTTGGCACTCGAGACAAGTACCGAGGCCTATCTACCCGTCAAATTGAGCTTACTGAAACTTCGTTTACGGAGCTACTGGAACAGAATCACGAACGGCAAGATCAACTCTATTCAAGACGAAGAAGGTGGGGATTCCAAAGTCAACTTTAGTGATGAGTTTTTGCTGACCCCGTGCTCAGAATCAAAGCCCCGGAGGACATTGAAAGAATGGATTGCAGCGTTCATTGAGAACGACGAAGAGGAGGAAGCCTATCGTGCACAGATGTTCAAGCGAGCCGAGGAAGAAGATGACCTGCTATCGAGTGGTTCAGATCGACACCATATCGATGACCGTCATGAAGATGGCTACTACGACGATCTGGAGCTCGATATCGATGAAAGCGTTTTAGAAGGCCTTATCATTGTTGCCTTAGCCGCGACTTTGCTAGTGCTTGTATACATGAGACAGCAACGGAACCGACAGAGACAAGATGGGAATGTAGGCGCCAATCCAGCAGCCCCGGGGAATGCAAATGATGACCGGGGCTTTTTCCCTCGCCCTGGAGACCCGGAGTTCGCTCAATGGGTGGCGGGCGGCGTTGGGCATTGATGAAGAGCACTCATAGTCTGTATATGGTGTATTTTATGATCAATGGAAGATTTTGCTAAGAGTAGAGGAAGCTTTTCATAGATCAAATTGCTACACTACGCATTTAAACTGATCATAGCATAGATTAATTAGCAGTTTTGTATAGTCCAGAATGATATTTACCAAGATGTCTAAAACTTTTGTTGACTAGTAGTCACAAGAGGGTTCAATAGAATCAATACTGGCGACAATTCGAACAAAAGTGGACCTGGAGGTCCTTGGCACATGGCCTTTTAGGTGGGTCACTCCATCTTCCTCTTAAACCTGTATGAAAGCCGTTTCTCTGAATACCCACAAACACTTCAATACAATGTAATTACTTCAAGTATTGCTAGACATTCGAAAAAATGTCTTCCATCAACCTCAATAAAAAGCGCCGTCGCGTTGAAAGTGCAGCATCGGCGCTTTCCAAACCTTTCAAATCTCCCCTTCGCCGACCACCTCAAGTCTCGGAGACCAAACAGGAGGCAGTATCCAAAGACGAGAAAAATGTTCCTCCGGGCCCGTCTCTCAATCATAATAACGCTGACACCAATGATGCGCACACTCCACCTGTGATCTCATCTTCCCCGTTGTCTGCTCGTCCTTCAACTCACACAGCACCTCCTCCTCCCTCAAGCTTGGCGTCTCGCAAAAGAAACGCTCAGATAAACCATCTAGCTTCATCTAAGAAACCTATATTCTCTGACCCGGCCATTCTTGGTCTTCAGAAGAAAGAAAGGGCGCTGCAGTTACGACTTGCTACCCTGCGATCTGAGCTTGATACTGCGCAACAAGCTCTTCAGCTCGAGTCCTCGACCAAAGATGCAGACCTCCAATCGCTGATTACGAAGTGGAGGTCTGTCAGCCAGAATGCAGCTGAAGAAGTTTTCTCTGGGGCTCAGGAACGTGTGGCGCGGATGGGGGGTATAAAGGCTTGGAGGGAGCAAATGAAGAATAACAATGCGCAGTGGGAGCAAGAGGAGATGGAAACCTGGTACGGCAGCGCAGAGGCTGAAGGAGTTGAAGTAGATGAAGATGAGCTGGAGACTCGGAAGGCTGAGATGCTCAAGGGCCGCAAGGAGAGTCACGATGAGGAGCGGAAAAGCAGAGAGATTGAAGATGAGGTTGGTTTTTATTTTGAATTGAGTCTTCCTATGGCTACAAGGGTGCTAATCTCAACTAATAGGAATTCACCATGGACTTTATGTTGAAGACGCTGAATATTGACCTTAAGGTCATCGGATATGATAAAGCTCATCAGAGATGGATTAAGGAATAGTCTACGACTCTGTACACGATTCTCTGACTCTCAGCTATGGGATGGCTGTGTATGATCTTCGCTATCATTATTCTGTCCTTGTCCTTGGCCATGTATAGCTGTTGTCCTTCTTGCGCAGCCCAAAGAGGTCCGGAGTAATCGTGATTTCTAGGACACAATATTCAACTGAGAAATACCCATTCTTACCTGTAAAATTTCACTCACGCTTAAAAAACAGAAAAGAGCAAGTGTAATCTTTAAGGTTGCATATGATGCAGCTCTATCAAAGCCATGGCTGGCACAATATAACTCAAATTCCCCACATAATGCGGAGTAAATAAAGTGGGGGAGCCGCTCTTGTTCTTATCTTTTTTTGCTATCAGTCAATCAGTCACTCAATCACTCATCCTGCCCAGGACAGCCATTTTCTCAGAAATCTTTCGATGACTTATGCCGCGGACTGCAAGCCATTCTAGGCTCCTCGCCTGTGCTCGATGCTTTCGATTGAAGCGAAAATGTGACCACGCAAAACCAACCTGTGGAGAATGCAGACGAAGAGGTGCAGAATGTCTCCCAGCAAACTCTTGCAAAAATGGAGACAACATAACCGTTCCTTTGGAATACCTGAGATGTTTAGAGGCCAGGGTCGCTGAGTTAGAGCATGGTTCGCGCACCTCAACAACATCGCTGCAAACACGAGACTTTGGTATCCAAACTGAGCCGACTGACCCGCTTACCTGCGATCCAATGCCCGATTGCGATCCTGATACTGATAAGGACAATGATGTTGACAAATCTCCGACATTTTGCGATCTTTTGGATTTCGATTTGCAGCGAAAGTCCCCGGGCTCGAATGCACATTCAGTCGTCACATTGTTGGGGGATTCTACAAACTCTACAGCAAGTGACAAATTTGACCCAATGGAGACGAATGTGGATGACTCCATACCAACAGAGGTCGGTTCTCTGCATGATCTCGGCGTAGTGGGCGGTTATTCATTCTGGCTCGAAGAAGCCTACACCAACCTGTACTTCTCAATCACGCACTTCATGTGGCCATTACTTGATTGCAACGCTTGGGGTTCCTGGCGCCATGACTGGAGCCTAAATGAGAAGCCGGAACCATGGAAAGGATTTTTTGTGAAGATGGTGCATGCCATTGGTTCCTTGTCATACAACGTTCTTCAGCCTGGTCAGAACCATTCAAAGCATGCGGCAGAGATGTATTCCTCCGCATTGTCGTATTATCCTTACGTTATGGCAGAAGCGTCCGCTATCCTTCAGATACAAGCGTCAATTCTCATGGTTATCTATTCTCTTCATTGCCCTTCTTCAGGAGAAATCTCTATGTCAGTTTCTTCCATCGTCCCCTTCTGTTCAGCTACGTTGGCCGAGATACAGAAACGCATTTCTTCTGGTCTGGATAGCACCCTGGGAGATACGATGGGAAGGGATGCCAATCTTAATGAGTTGATGTTTATCACTTGTTATATGTTGAATGAAATCATAGTGTCTGGCTGGGAACGACCGGTTTCTGCGGCCTATAGGATTGTTGATGACGATGTACAGATATCTGACCTCCCTCTAAGCTGCTTCGCATCTTCCCTTGACTAACGGAAAAGTTATAGATTCATATGTTCAGCAATGAGATATCGAATGTCTCAAGCACGAGCACAGCGTTGCAACACTTGTTTAGATTGCGAAAGATCCAAGCCAATATCCGAAGATCCTGGGATGAGCCAACTGATATCCAAAACTCGAATGACAGATCGTTCAAGCTAGCATTGGATGATTGGAGGAAAGATATACCTCAATACTCAGTGGAAGAAGCGCAGAGAACCCATCTCGATCCTCTATGGATGACAAAACTATATGACTACAGTGTTATCATCCTTATGCAAGGAAAGCGGAAATGCCTCATGCGCGAAGACCTTGATGATATTCTTTCGGCTGGAGTCGAGGCATGCCTTAACTATAGACGTCTGCAGGAAGAAGGTCAAGTGATGTGCTTTACATGGTCTGCGGTGCGTCTACGCTGGCAAGTTATCGTCTTCGGAGAGTTCTTACTAACGTATCTGCCATAGCTTGTGTTTCAATTCCGGACCGGGGTTATTCTTCTGTATATATGTCGATCCGCGAGTTTGGGGCTCGATTATATACAACAGGCATTTGATGCCGTATGTGCCTGTGCAGACAGCCTCACCTGCTTCGCAACCCGTTGGCAGGATGCCACCCCCTATGCTAAAGTATTTTACTTCCTTCTCCACTCTGCCTCCTGGTTACCAGAAGATCTTCCTGAGCGGCTGCGGTGTGCATGTTCTCTTAGCGAATTGGAGGCCTACGTGAAACAACTAAAAAAACAGTACTTGCACAAAGAGGTTCTGGCAATGATCGAAGATATGGTAAACCCTCCCATTTCTGATGTATGCTAGCAAATAGAAAGAGAGTATGACTGCCTTGGATACTCCTTAAAGAATTGATGAAATAGTGAACCAGAGAGACTGCATTATGTACATAATTCATTAGCATATACAGGTTGGCAACACGAAAAAATCACAGTAATAGCATTTTACCAGCTGTTTGGCCAGTGTTCGTATGAGCCACGATCACAACAATTGTCTGGACCAAAGCAGGGCTTGTCCATCGGGACCACGTGCCATCACGAGCCGAGACAGGATATGTCGTAGCCAGACTCCATCCGTTGCCATCAAGTTGAGGATCAATTATTTCACCGTTGATATAGCATACCAACTGTTTCAATTGCGCGCCACCGCTAAGTTGTAGACTTCCTTTGACCTCAACATACACAGTAGAATCTTTGATGTGCTTGGACTGATCTGTAACTGTGACTCCGGGTAGTTCTATCTGACCCTGAGCAGAGGAATGTTGCTTTCCAGTCGTATGAACAAGATCAGAGTCCAGCCCTGGCACACGAGGCGGCACTTGGCGATAATGTGTGGATTCCTCATATGCATACGCATAACGCAGCAGCTTAGTGTCATCATATGCCTTTCCTGCGAACGTCAAGTTGATTGGCATATTTGTGTCCTCCATCACGCCCATCGGAACAGACACGGTGGGAATACCAAGATGACGGATCTCCCGGTTCCCGTTAGAGTACTTCACGCCATTTTTCCAAGCGTACAGAGAAGCTTCAGGATCCACATCTGCGTTTGCGCGGCCAATATCACCATTAGCGGGAAAGACCACTGCATCAAGGCCCTGTGTGTCCATCCATTGCTCGAATGTCTTCTTTCGTGCGTTTTCCAAGGCTTTAATAGCCTGGTTTAGGTTCGGAATGTCTAAGATCGAATCGGGCTTGTTCTTTGGATATTTGACCATCTCGTGCCATCTAAGCTGGTTTGCGGCATCAGGGGTTCCGCGAAGAGAACCGGGTGCGAGAGGAAAGATAGTTTCTGGGTCTACACAGGCAAGCGAATCAAGTCCAGGCTGGCCGTTGGCGGCTAGGAAGTCATCCCAGGAGTGAGCCACAAGCTGACATCTTTCCACTGAGTGCCAGCCTTCTGGAAGGCCTTCGACACTCACTAGCTCTCCTAGACTTGCTCTAGCTTCGTAAGTGGATACCATTGGGAAGTCAACCTCCACAACTGTAGCGCCACATGCTTCCAAAGCACCTTTAGTTCTCTCCCAAAGCTTGAGCACAGAAGGTCTCGTGCATACTTTATCCGGGAGAGGGTCCTTGCCACCGATATACATGGAAGGCACACCGATCCGTTTTCCACGAAGGGCAGAGCTGTCCTTTAGCTCATCAAATAAGGGAGGTCGAATTGTCTCCACTGAAGGTAAGGGAACAACCTTCTGCTCATTCCAGAAGTCCCCTGAAGGTGTCTTGTCGACAACGGCAAGAACATCGAGAACCTTGAAGAGGTCCGACATGGTGCGGGTATGGGGTACCAAAACGTCGCAAGTCGGATACAGAGGCCACACCCCACGGAGAGGCAACAGACCCTTCGATGGGGTATAGGCAATAATGGAGTTATTGGAAGCAGGTGATCTGCCTGAGGATACAGTCTCGGAGCCTAAGCTAAACGCACAGAAGTTGGCTGTGGTGGCTGTTGCAGACCCGTTAGAAGAACCTGACGCATATGCTGCGGTCAAGTACTCCGGGTTATATGGACTTTCCGCGCGGCCGTACGAGCCTCGCTGCATGCCTCCATATGCCATTGCGGGCATATTAGTTCTTCCCAAGAGAACCGCACCAGACTCCCGCAGAGCCTGGACGCACGCAGCATCTTCTGTAGCGACCAGTTTCTCGAATGCGGGCGAACCGCTGGCGACTGTCATACCTTTGACTTTGATACTGTCCTTGACGAGGTAAGGGATGCCTTCGAGGGGCCGCACGGGAAGACCGGCAGCTCGACGGGCATCAGACGCGGCGGCTTCATCGAACGCAGTGGGGTTGATAATAGGAATGGCACTCAAGCTAAGGCCAGCTGCATCATATACACTGATCCGCCGGAGATATCTAGCTACCAGATCCACGCTTGTGATCCATCCTGCACTCAAGGCATGCTCGAGCTCTGAGATAGTGGCATCGACAAGACTGAACGTTTCAGCAACCTGGTATTCATCAGCACAATGTGCGCTTGGTATATCGGTCTTTGAGCCTTACCGACTCCATGGCAGACATGAAAACTTAGTGGTTTTGGTAACGGTAGGTTGCAGCTAAAGTACGTCTAAGACCAACGCAAATGAACGGAATTGATCAGAACAAGAGCTGGATAGCCCGGGTGTATCATGAAGACTGTTTGTCATTGGGACTAATTGATGGAATTTACAACCGTTATATACCTACAGCTCTGGGTGTGCACTTTCGGAACATGTTTCACTTATGCCTACCTCCGTTTCTACCGGAAGTTGGCTTGGCCCCTCCGGCTACAGGAGGAGCGGACAAAAGTCCGCTCGGGTAGTCAGATGGTTGAGATAGCGTGGGGGAAGTACAAAAGTGCGTGTGCCAAGTCCTGGTTATGGCTTATCAGAGTGAGTCTCCGCACCTTATCTACAGATAAGGTTAGTGGCCGTAGTGGCCCTAGCGAGCGGGGAAGTTTACCCATCCCTCCGGGCGCATACTAGTTTACTACATGCAGGATCTAAACATTGAAAGCGTAAAGCTTCACAGCCCTTAGCAAGTGAAAGTCCCCACAGCCGAGGTCACCGGGATATCTCTCGCTATCTCATGGCCAACGGCCCGTATCAATTGGCTTGCTTCTTTCTACGTAGTGGGTCTGGTTTGCAACCATGCATGCATCAAGCCCCATGCGGGGATATACGGTCAACCCCTCGATAAACCAGTTGAGATAAGTGCCAAGTGATAACATGCGTGTCCTTTATCAGTTGCAAGGCGCTGAGCCCAATTGATTTTTAGATATAAATCAGCCCGAAGAAACGCCCCAGTTGTGAAGGAGAAAACTCGACCGCGACTTCAGTGCTATTGCTCGACATAGACTGCTTTACTCACCCTTGCCCCGATGATTGACACTACCAATGACACGAAAGCTGACGTGCGGAGCTCCGCCAGTGTTGAGAAACATGGCGACGTCATGTCGGGTGAGATCCGCGATATCGGAGCAGACCTCTATGCTGAAGTCGGCCAACTATCGCCTGAAGAGCTCGAACGTGAAGGCGCCGAAGTGCGCAAGCTCCTAGACTGGCGAATTTTACCCATGGTAGCCTTGTTCACCTAAATGTCACTTTATGTCTTCGCAATTTACTGACGAGCTCCGCATTTAGTTATATGTGACATATGTTATCCAATATTTAGGCGAGTATATTGTCGTATCTCAATCTGCTAGTGCCAAGCTAACTAAGTTGTACCGAACAGACAAACTGTCACTAAACTATGCCTCCGCTTATTCGTTCATCCCAGACCTCGGTCTGGAGGGCCAAAGATACTCGTGGGTGGCAGCAATATTCAACTTTGGATATCTTTTTTGGGCTATTGTGCGTGTGATGAGCGATGAGCTTTTTGGGCCAAAGGCTAACGAACCTGATTTAGCCATCCAATCTGATGATCCAACGTTTGCCACTAGCGAAGTATATGGGAACCGTGATAATTATCTGGGCCGGCCTTGTTATTGCACATATTGGAGCTAAAAACTACGCGGGGATATTGGTTCTCAGATTTCTGCTGGGTATGGCGGAGGCTTGTGTCAGCCCGTGCAGTAAGGCTATACCGACTAGGAATTGCCAAAATGCAACCGTCTAATGAGAAATAGTGATGAACTTCACCTCGATGTTCTACAAACGAGCCGAGCAGCCTCTCCGGATGGCTATATGGTTATCTGGGAATGGAATGGCAACGATGGTCGGCGCTCTCTTGGGATTTGGTCTAGGCCATTCTCACAATACTAGCCTGCGAAGCTGGCAGCTAATCTTCTTAACGATTGGCTTACTCAATTTCGTTACCGGATGCTTCTTCCTCTGGATCATGCCCGACTCGCCAAGTACAGCGAAATTCCTGTCCCACAGACAGCGCGTTGTGGCAGTTCACAGAGTTTCGGAGAATATGATCGGTGTCAAGACCAAGGAAATCAAGCTGCGCCAAGCTTTGGAGATTTTTTACGACGTCAAAGTGCTCTGCTGTGTCGGCATCGGCATCGCTTGCGGCGTTATCAATGGTGGTGTATCCAACTTCTCATCGTCTCTGATTAAAGGATATGGCTTCAGTGGCATTTATGCAACACTCCTGCAGCTCCCAACGGGAGCTATCGAAGCTGTGATAGTGCCTATCTGCGGCTTAGTATCCACATACGTGCGGGACTCGCGCTGTATAGTGTTGGCTGTCGTGTGTTTGATTCCATTCGGTGGCCTCCTTGGCATTCGTTTCACGGACCTCAATCATCGCTGGACATTGGTAGGCTGCACATGGCTTCAATACATCATAGGTGCGCCCGTCATCATATCCTGGAATCTCCTCTCCACCAACGTGGCTGGTCATACGAAACGCTCCTTCGCCAACGGGCTCTGGTTCACGGTATACGCAAGCGGAAACGTTGCGGGGGCCAACATCTTCTTTGCTCGCGAAGCTCCCCGGTATTATTCGGCATTGACCGGTCTTCTTGTCTGCTACGCGGGGATAATCATTCTATGTGCCGTCGGGTATATGGCCATGAAGTGGGAAAATCTGCGGAGAGATCGCAGTATGTCACCAGAGGAAACCGCGGAACGCCGTGAGGAGGCTGCTGTTCTCGATGGCTTTAAGGATATGACAGACATGGAGTCTAAGCACTTTAGATATGCGCTCTGATTGCGGATAATGGATAGTAGAGTATATAGTGAATTAGGATGCCGTGATGATCTTCGACCATTTTCAAAGTCAAGCTTCATTCCTGTTGGTATTAGGTAAACTGCAGTACGTCACGATAATATATTATATCCTTGTAAATGAATCACCCATTGCTCATCCTACACTATAGCAATGTAAAACAAGCCCATATCTATCCTAAATCTCACAAATCCTAGTGAACCACCACCACCACCACCACATAGAAAAGCAACATGCGAACACTCGCCCATGCAAACCGTCTTCAGCCAAACCTCATACATAGTCTCCTGTTCTAGAAGAAGGGTCGAACCCCAACCCACACCATATAAACCAATTATTCGGACCATCAGGGTTTCTCGCTGCCAAGTCTGGCGTAGTGGCCACCGAGTAGAAATTATACTGCTTAATTAGACAGGGCTTTGCCTGGATAATTCGACCGGCGTGGTCTTCGTTTGGGTATTCTCTTGTCTTTCCTGGGGATATAGCCTGTTGCTAGGGTAGAAGTCTGGGGTTTTAATGGAAGAGGATTGGTGTTTGGGGGGAGATAGATCGGTGACAAGAAGAATAGATTTAATCATTGGGCTGTGGGGATTTGGCGGGGGAGGTCTTAACTAACTGTATTTGACACGGAGGGTCAATTGATGTCTCCTTGGCTTAATATATTTTGTTGCGGGGGTGTGGGGCAAAGCTTTAATGGGTTTTGTGAGTGGGAATTTGGATGGGATTTCTCTAGGTGTGGATTTCTTGTGTATGTATGTCTTCTGAAGTAGGAGGAGAGTATAGGATTGTAGATGCCTACAGGGGAACAAGTAATTCATTGAGATCATGTGCATTTCTATATAGTTTCAACAACAGACCTACACACTAAGCTTTCTCAATATGTTGGTCGAAGATTTCCCCAATTGCTTTGGCGCTTTGTTTGGGGATTCTCTTCTGGTTGTTCTCGTAGTCGACGTAAGTCACTCCGAACCGTGTCTCGTAGCCCTCGGCCCATTCGAAGTTGCTGCAATAATTGTTAGCTATTGGCTGGCTTGTTCAAGTGGAAGGACTTACTCCATTAAGCTCCATGCCATGTAGGCCCTGACATTGACTCCGTCTAAAGTGTAGGCATCCGCCATAGCGCCAATGTAATCCCGGAAATACTTCGTCCGGAAGTCATCCTGGAGTAGTTGCTCTAGCGGCAAGTCATTCTCTCCTTTCAGACTGGTGCCGTTTTCTGTCACGTAGATCTTGGGGTAGTTGTATCGCTCACTGAGCCATTTCAACAGCTTCCGGAACCCAATCGCGGAGGGTCGCAGCCAGGGAGATTGCGTCTCGGGCCCGACCCATTCACCCTTCTTATTTTGGAGCAGGACCTCCAGGTTGCCTGCAGTGTCATTAGGATCCGCTTCGCCGGTCTTGGCTTTGATGAAGTTGGCGCAGTAATGGTTCATGCCATAGAAATCGTTACTACCGTGGACGAGCGCGATGTCCTCTGGCGTCCACTTCGGCAGTCGGTCACCCAACTGTTTCACCATGCTATCCGGATACTTCCCGTGGTAGATGGGGTCTGCGAACCAGGAAATTGCGAACTCGATCTTTCTATCACAAGCTTCGACGTCTGCCGGGTTCTCGGGGTCCCAAGGCTCGGCCCAGTCGCCTAGAAGACTAGTTAGGTATCTTGGTACATGTGCATGGGACGGATCAGCACTGACCGTTAAGTGTGATGCCTATCTCCCCACCATCGCTGGCCTTGAACTCATCTCGGTAGATCTTCACTGCTGCCCCATGGGCTACCAGAAGACTGTGGCCCACGATCCAACACTCCCGCGAACTATCTCCGACAGGGCTCTTGGCCCGGTCACTTGTTCTCCCTGGAGCAAACTGACCAACGTTATATCCAAGAACACTGCTACACCATGGCTCGTTGAACGTGATCCAATGCTTAACCTTCGAGCCGAACGTCTTGAAAACTATGCGGGCGTAGTTGGCAAAGTCTGCGACGAATTCTTCTTTATTAAGGAGACCACCGTAGCGTTTGTCGAGCTCATCGGGAAGATCCCAGTGGAACAAAGTAATGAGAGGAGTGATACCAGCAGCATGCAGGTCATCGACGAGTTTTACATAATATTGCAAGCCTTTCTCATTGATGGGGTCGTTTCGGCCACCGAGTGGAATAATGCGGGACCTAAGATAAAGCTATAAGCGGATGAGGAGCATGCATAGAGATTGTAACGCTTTTACCAAGAGAGTGAGAAGCGGTATGCCTTGGCACCGCAAGCCTTAAGCAAGGCGATATCCTCGTGTGCGCGATGGTATGAGTCGCAAGCCACATCACCATTGGCTCCTCCGGCGATTTTGCCAGGGATCTTGCAGAATGTATCCCAGATGGATGGACCTCGTCCGTCCTCGTCCACGGCTCCTTCAATCTGGTAACTGTCCAAAATTAAACATCATGTATTAGCCAAAGCCAAACCACTTCTCCATGACTACACGGGGACACAATCAAATCACCTCGCAGTTGCGAATCCCCATAGGAAGTCGGGTGGAAGAGTCGAGGTTGAAGCGGAGCCCATATTGATAGTTGCTTGATGCTTGTATTAAGTGTTTGGGTACCCAGGATCTCGCTCCTTAAATTGTCCCAACCAACATTTGTAGAGACTGAGGGACGTTTAAATATTTTGGCCAGCCAGACTAGGAGGGGAAAGCGGGGATGTTGAAAGGAGTTAAGTACATAGTTCCGGATAAATATCATCTTGTTTCTGGGCTAAAAGCAGACGCGGCTCCACGGACCGTATCCCGAAGACCTGGAATAGGTATAGTCGAAACTACAATAACTCCTCTCATTTGCATCTACTAAAAACAAACAAAAACACCTTGGTTAAATCATGCAATAATACTAGACACCAAATGCAATGGCAACCCGGTCTTGAAACTCCTCGCTGATCGTAATCCATACCTCATTACTTATATCATGTCATGGAGGTTAGTCGAGGGAAATCCTCCCAACCGCTATTTCTTAAGCAGCGACATGGAGCTCAAGCGGTGGTGGACCTGATTGTATCACGACATTTCCATCCCTTCCATTTCGTCGCCATCGAGGTCATCGACATCTTCTGCCATAGTGCCGCCAAGAGCCAGCTGGGACCGCTTAGGATCTCTGCCGGAGCCAAATCCCTCCGCAGAAAGCGCTCCAACCATCTCCAATTCAGGTCCTGCAACAACGCGGCCTTCCATGTCAACCACCTCACATAGTTCAATCAAACTCTGCCGACTCAGAGACTTGAAGCCGTCGGTGCGTACGACTCGGCCCCAGTTGCTGAGACAGAATTGGGCCGCACGGCGCATCAGCCATTCTTCATTCGTCCGGCCGGCTCGCTCCCAGATGATCGCTGCATTCTCCACGTCCAGTTCACGACTCAACCGGTTAACACATAACACTCGTAGCTTAGGCATGTCGTACAAATTGGCCATCACGAGCATACCAGCCACATCGACAATGTCAGAACAGTATTCTGGGTGACCCGAGATGCTATCAGTGTACAGGTAGTAGATGAATGCACGAACGACCGAGTAAGGCTCAGGAATATGCATCCTCTTCGAATGATATTCGACCATCTGAGCAGAATACAGCCTTTTGAAATGGGGCCATCTTAGCTGTAAAATAATCCGATGCACATGGATGGGTGGGGAAGTGGCCACATTAGGAGGTATAAACGTGGACTGGGCTTGGGAAGAAGAGTCTTCTGCGAGCTCGTCACCGTCTACCTGATCGTCTGGGTTGGCTGTGATAGTAAAGTCGGCACCACTGCCGGATTCAGGCGCTTGATCAAAGACAGCCGACAGGTCCGCACCAATTCCAGATAAGGGAGATGCCCCCGATCGTCCTGAGAGTAGTGCTTTGTCTTGGTCGGGCGAGGCGGCTGTCATGTCATTGCCAAGTAAACCGTACCTTTCCAGATCAATACAAAGAACTTCGCTCATGTGGTTCTCATCAGCGGTTCCAGGAGTGGCGCCGACATCCGAGTTGCTGCCTAACAGCCACGCCTTGGTGCCACTCGCATCGACTGTACAGTAATGCCACCTATAACCCGCTTTAAATATTTCCTGTCCATCGGCCAATCTTTGCCAGCGTAGCGAGTCAAGCTCCAATGACGACAGATTACAGTCAAATATACGCACTGTCTCCGACGGAGTTATCAAGTCGAGCAGAACGCCAGACGCATATGCTTGGAAGTGAGTCCCAGAGAATAGCGCAGGTACATGAGGGCCAGACTTGAACTGAAGACACGAGATGGCACCGGGAGCGATTGGTTTCCGTCGATTTGAATTGCGAACTTGCACACTCCCCGAGTTTGCTGCGTAGCTACCCGACCGTCCCGAGAGCTGCTGTGCTGGACTATTGAACATTGTGTCTGGGCTATGAGTACTCCTGCCGATTGCCGCGGGGGTGTCTACGGTACCTTGCGATGTTGTCATTCCAAGAGATTGGATGTCTTTGAGATCAAGCCACCAGATATCCGTCGTACGTTCCATACCCGGGTCAAGGCCTCCAAAAGTCCACAGGCGACCGCCCCAAACCCAGGCAGTATGATCGAAGCGGGCTGTAAATCTCCAGGTCCGAGACCATGTCCATGTTTTCAGGTCCAGGTAAGACAGGTCATCAAGGATTTTGTTATCTCCAGTTACACCTCCTAAGACAAAAAGTTTGTCATCGTAAATGACGGCAGCATGGCGGGCCCTTCCTCGCGGTACTGGTCCACGGATTTCCGGCTGAGTCCAAGTAGAGGTGGTAATATCGAGGATGACCACATCGGAAAGATATTCGCGATGCTCATTCTCTCCACCAAAGACAATCAGTTTGGTCCCTTGATAGAGAGTGGCAGTATGTCCTAGTCAGTTCGCACAGTTTGGTTAGTTCAGATCTCGAGAAATAGTTGAACACCGATGTGGTCAGGTTTAAATACCCATGCGAACTCCTGGAATATCGCCATAATTGTCCACAAGTTCCCAGCGGAGATCTTTAAGGTTCAGCCTCAGAACGTGGTTGTACACTGTTACATTCATATCATTAGCATAAGATGCAATTTGTGCATGCCAGATAATAGGGTCGCTTATGAACCTTCATCAGTATACTGATCGAACCCGCCGAAGGCGTAGATCTGATCGTTGTCGCAATACGTCACAGACGCATTGACCAGACATGCTGGGATATGGCCCTGAGCCTTTTTTATGCTCGGGCGATAGTCCGTACTACCGCGGCGACCGCCGGCTACACTAGGGGGCATGAGGAATGTGTGGTGCGGTGTCTGATGGTCAGAGGACAGGGAAGTCATCGGAAATGAGACTCTCGGCGCCCCGGTCCAGGATTGTGGGTCTCCGTGGGACTGCGTGAACGCCGCGGATGCAAAGGAAGCGTTACTATTCCGAGTAGTAGTGGAGAGCGGTTGCCGCGCCATCAGAGCCACCCAGAAAGGAGAGCGTTGTGGCACCGCTCCACAGAGGGAAAGAGCGTGTAATGGAGTTCTTGGTGGTGTTTAAATTCAAATAACGAGACTTTTCTTTACATGTTATACGAAATCATGCCAAGGCGTACAAAGAGGCTTCGACATCGGGGATGAGAGAATGCGACTAAAAAATTCAAAAAAGAAAAAGCTGGAAAAAAGTGAAAGTTGCCAAGACGATCGTCACGAGAGCCGCATGGCAGACGGGACTAGCCGGGATAGGATTAGCGCACCCGTACCTCAGGTAACCGTTGCCATGGGAGAATAGAACTATACTCTCTATTTATTCCCCTATCCCTCAAGTCTTCCGATCCAGATTCCTTCTTCTCCTCCCATCTTCTTCAGTTTCCTTGCTATCTCATAGTTGCATAGTATATTGTTTATACTTGCTGTTTTCAGTACTTTACTGTACATCTTAAGCCATAATCCCGGCTGAAGGTCATTGGATGACCGCATTGGCTTGACCTTACTTCTTCAACGTTACCTCTTCTGTGCCCCGGTGGCATAATCCTGTTCGAATATGGCTACTCCCACAGTATCGACTCCGGTCAAGACCCACCATGGAATCTTCTCTTCAAAGACTGCTGGAGGTCGCATGCCTCTCACACCTTCTCCACGTATGCGAGCGGGAAGCATGACATCGAATCACTCTTCACCATTCACTCCTCCCCGTCAGCAGGAAGGCGCCAAGGACCATGGAAAGTCTGTCTACGGGGGTAATTTGTCCTCTTATTTTGCCAAGTCCATGTCCAGGGCAACCCGGAGCTACCGCGAGTCTCCCAAGTCTAACATTGCCCGGATTCGTAAGTCGCCTAAGCACCTAGAAATGGGTGTCTCGGAGTGGGCTTTGGCTGGTACTGGTCCCTCATCATCACAGTCTCCGACATCCAAGGAGCGAGTACGGAAAGAGGTCCCGACACGTACGACAAGATCTGGGAAGACCACTGTTCGCATTGCACACAATGCTGGTGACAGATTCATTCCCAACCGGACCGCCAGTGAGGGACTGGCAACTGCTGGAACTGCAAAGCCCGAGGAGAGCCAACGATCCAAGACTAGTGGCAACGAGGGCTCTACCGTTCTTGCAAGTGCCGCGAGCGCCTTCGACATTGGTGGTCGAGGAACGGAAGACGATATCACCGCGGCTCTTGAGAACCTCGGCCTCGAGGATAGCGAGACTTCCTCAACATCATCATCTTCTTCGTATACCAGACCCGCACCAGATGCTGTAGCCTACGAATCGTCATTGGCTGACGCTTGCGGTGTAAATCTGAATACTCGAATTCTTGCTTTCAAGCCACCGCCTCCGGAATCGTCCAAACCCATTGACTTGCGTGCTCAGTACAATCGTCCCCTTAGGCCTGCTAAATCTAAGTCGGCACAGTTCCGCAGAAGGGTTCAAACTGCTCCCGAGCGTGTTTTGGATGCGCCTGGGCTTCTGGATGACTACTATCTTAATCTCCTGGGTTGGAGTTCTGGCAACCAAGTTGCCATCGGCCTTGAGCGGAATGTTTACGTGTGGTCGGCAGATACAGGGTCCGTTAGCTGCCTACTGGAGACATCTCCGGATACGTATATCAGCAGTGTCAAGTGGAGTGGCGATGGAGCCTATGTTGGTGTGGGCTTGGGCACCGGCGAGGTTCAGATCTGGGATGTCGAAGAGGGTACTAAGCTGCGAAGTATGTTTGGCCATGACTCTCGTGTTGGTGTCATGGGCTGGTCTAAGCACACCTTGTCTACCGGTGCTCGCAGCGGACTTGTGTTCAACCACGATGTCCGCATCGCTCAGCACAAGGTAGCTGAGCTTGTATCTCACACCTCCGAAGTCTGTGGCCTCGAGTGGCGACCCGATGGTGCTCAGCTGGCTACCGGCGGAAATGACAACTTGGTGAATATCTGGGATGCTCGGTCTCTCAGTGCACCCAAGTTCACCAAGACCAACCACCGTGCTGCTGTTAAGGCTCTCAGCTGGTGTCCCTGGCAACTGAACTTGCTTGCCACCGGTGGTGGATCATACGATCGCCATATTCACTTTTGGAACACCACGACGGGTGCGCGTACCAACAGCATCGATACTGGTTCCCAAGTCACCAGCCTGCGATGGAGCAACCACTACCGGGAGATTGTTAGCTCCAGTGGTTTCCCCGATAACTCCCTGAGCATCTGGAGTTACCCAACTCTGGTCCGCAACATTGAGATCCCGGCACACGAGACTCGTGTTCTGCACAGCTGCCTGAGTCCCGACGGTCAGCTTCTGGCTACCGCGGCAGCGGATGAGAGCTTGAAGTTCTGGAAGGTCTTTGAACGCAAGCCAGGAACTAGTGCATCGGCGTCTCGTGAGGGTGGAGTTGGAAGCAAGGCTCAAATGACTAAATCCATGACTATCCGCTAGTTTTGCTGCGTAGTTTTCTTGTACATTTGTTTCGCTTTTCATTGGGTACTGCGTGGATTCTGGGTATATCACTGGGAGTTGGATCACACTTGGCTGGCGTTACTTAGCTGGAGCACTGTATTTAGGCGAGACGGTATATTTGGGTTAAGATTCTTGTATAGCACATTATTAGAATTGATGACAAACTATCCTAGTACCACTTGACATTGGACGATAGATTGATTGTAAGACGGTCAATCCCTCGGGGACAGTCGACTTACTATACTACTCCTGTGTCCCTACAATTAATGTTAAAATCGTGACTACTTAAGATAAGCTTGAAGGGCCGATGGCGCTAACTTAGTGAGGGTGCGGGTGGTGACTAAGCAGGACAAGGACGGATTTCGCCCGAAGATTACGACTTTCACCTCATTCAATTCCCTCTCAGGCACGCCTGTCCCTGCGCTCCTTGCCAACAACCTTCGTTTTCTCGGGCGGTTTGACGAAAGATTTCACGTACCACATAGCCAGGTTGCATACGATTGCCGGTCAAGTCCTGAGCTACCGAAGCAGGCCCGAACTTGATTGTTGGAGGTTACCGTCGCATTAGCTCGTGGCAACCGACCGCTGCGACGGAACACCTGCCCTGGTGATAAGCCAACGACAACACCTCCACCTTACATCCCGGAAGTGATAGGCTCGCACGTTTGATTTTTTTGTCGACAAAGGATAGACCGTGGTGATTTACCTGATTTGACAAGGCCTGTCTACGAAGTTCTGCCCCAGCGACCATGTCCAACCAGCAGGTGGTGAGTGCTATCTGACAGAGCCCTAGCTTGCCTGAGCTGGGAGACCTAGGAAGGATTAGCAGATATTTTCTCTTTTCGTTGGCTAGCTTTCTTCAGTGAGGGTCTGTCCCTGTAAAGAATATTGGCTTATACCAGATGATTCATAGGGCACGGTGTTCGATCGTGTCATCCAGGAAGTCTGCGATGGTTCTCAGGTGGATTTTGAGGAAAGTGGAGTGGACCAGCAGACATTGCTAGATTTGCGGAAGGTGAGTTAGACAGAAATTTGATATTGGAGATGTTTCTTTGATGGATTTCCTGGTAAAAAAATGCCAACGAAGGGGGAACTGATGTTGGCTACGATGGCCCTCGGCCAAACGCGGGGTCCGAGAGTTGCGGGAGGCGGCAAAGCCTCTGGGGGAGCGTCAGCCTTTTGAGGTCCCTTTATACTCCTCACATTTTACCCGCGGGAGCCTAAGGCTGCCAAGCCTCCTCATCGTCCCTCTCATTCATTCGATCTATAGTTCGGGCTTACCCTTTGTCAACCTTGGCCTCATATCACATTGATTTATCTCTACTTGGACTTTTATTCTCGTCTCATAACCTTTCTATTGACTGTTCCACTATCTAACTAAATTCTACCTGCACAGAGCTGGCAAAAAAAACTGTCGTCCCTGGGTGTCGCTCATTTCCCTTGGGATCCCCCACCACCCCAACCAGCCCCTCCTCAGCCTCAGAACCAGAATCAAATCCTCCCTCCCAGTGCGACCGTACCCTCTAATGCTCCTCGACCCGCTCCTTCTCAAACCCCTCAACAACATGTCCCCCCTCCGCAGTCGATGCCGCAACCGATGCCTGGCACCGCGCCTCCGTTACAGGTCCCCACCCCGGTCGGGGCAGCACCAAATGCCATGGGCCAAGCGCCACACATCAAGACGGAGCCTGGTATGAACGGCCAAACCAGCTTGCCCCCTATGAGTAACATGATGCCTACGAATACTCCAAATGCCCAATCGGCGCGAGAACGTGCTGCCAACATGCTACACCAGAGATACGGCGCGGCCGCTGCCAACTCGGTCAGTCAGTTGCAGGCCCAGTCGCAGGCTGCCATGGCAATGCCAGGACAGGCCCGTCCCCAGAATTTACCGCATGTTCCAAATGGACAAGCGCCACATATCAAGCAAGAACCAGGTTACCCTCCTGTTTCTCAACCCCCCATGAATAACACACAGACAGACGGTGCCGGCGACGATGCACTGTCAGCATGGAAAGCAGAGGTTGCGCGAAGGCGTGAGGCTGCTGAGCGTCAGAACGGAGAAGGCGACAGGGTTCTTCGTGAACATCTGAAACAGCGCATGCTTCAGCTCGAGGGAGGAGGCCTTCTGCTGCCATTGGAGGAACGCCAGGACTCGTCAAGAGCACCTGCCCGTGAACTTGCGACAGATGCCGTGATCCCTTCGGACCCAAGCACCTCAGCATCGTCTTCTTCGAAAGTAGTCCAAGCCCAATATGACGGCCCGGGAGGCGATGATGAGAGGGATGAAGACGATGAAGATGCCATCAACTCCGACCTCGATGATCCAGACGACCTCGTTGCTGATGACCATGAAGCGGAAGATGCCGTCGGCCAAGTGATGCTCTGTACGTACGATAAGGTCCAAAGGGTGAAGAACAAGTGGAAGTGCACCTTGAAGGACGGTATTCTGACGACTGGTGGTAAAGAGTAAGTTCCATAGAAGCACCTGAAGTACTGTGACAAGCTTGCTGACTTCAACAGATATGTCTTCCACAAGGGTCAGGGCGAGTTCGAGTGGTAGGTACGCAGTGTTTCTGTCCCCCGTAGCCACACGGTCTTGACGTCCGTTTTACTGTCTTTTTTTTACCCTTTTCATTTGTTTTAGCCATGTTCATTCATCTTCCCAATCTGTAAAAACCTTCTCCTATTTGTCTACCATTTTCAACCAAGGCAAATCACAGTACGGACACACGATGACTCCCAAGGGTAGTCGGTGGAAGCGGAAATAACCCTCAATGATTTTTGTTTCATGAAGTACATGAGGACGTTTGCGGCACGAGACTTTAATCTTCTTCATGTTACCCTTAGTTTGGATGCACATGGCGCTTTATGCAGGGGATGGCTATTTCTTTTCTTTGGTGTACTAGAATAATTCTACTTTCAAATGGGATTTTTGCTTTGTTGTCTCTACATCGTGACCAGGTCAGCTGAGCTACGGAATACATGCTTCGTCCTTACCTCACTATTAAACCTTGCATGGAACCAGTAGGAAATAATGCCGATCCTCCTGATGCGTAAAACTCAGGCCTCTGTACGGAGTACATACACCTTGATATGTGAATACATAGTTACTACCGTGACGGTATCACATTCGGACTCAAATGGGGACCTGTGTTTTCTGCAATCCACCCCAGCCAAGACCCAGTAGTATCATCCATAGTCTGCCACTAGCGGAGTATGCTGACAATCAAAACAGTCAGGAATTGAGACCGATCTCACCTGGAATGCTGTTGGCTTTTTGCCTTGGATTCAAGCACAGAGAATGAGCTCTATAGTGTCAAACAAGCCATCGGATTGTCGTTCACGGTACGAGCAAAATGTATACGTATTAATGTTTCGTCTTGAATGTAAAATGGTGAATGGAGACAGAGCTGCTTCAATTCGAAGGAAGTATAGTTTATCATTTAACAAATGTGACAGGGCATCCAAGCAATATTTTCCAAACTTTTTTCCTTTTCGCAGAACAAAACGAAGCCATGGGAATCAAGCAAATCAAGAAGACTCTATCAAGAAATAACAAGCCAAAAGGGGTCAACGCATATCAAGAAAAAGTTATAGCCCCAGATTCTCCATAAACACCACCAGCACAGGTAAAAACAAGAAAGCAAGCTCTGGCCTGGAACCATTATCTACAGGATCGACGCCGGTATGCCATTTTTTTTCTCTTCCATGGTGCTCGGGAAATGGCGGCCAGATGTCTGAAGATGAATAACGAAGGACACATCAAACCCGATGGTGAGTTCCAACTTTGTTTGATCCCCGCATTTGCTATCTTCGGAGATTAAAAAACGCAACCTCACCTGAGTGTCACGAATCCAAGGATCGATAAAGTCCTTTAATAATGCCAATCACGGGGATAAGAGGACAAGAGGTAATTGAGACACCGGGTGCTGCTTCCCAAAGCCCAAACATGCAAAAAAAAGTCACGAAAACAACAGAAGCCGAAAATCATATACCGACAAGCGTTCCGGGAACTCGTAAGTGTATCTCAACGGAAGTCTTTCGAGGGCACCAAAAGGACTGGCTGTTCATTATCAGATCAATCGCGGCGGCCCCAAAGAACCGCGATCGACAGGACGTTCATACCAAACGTAACTCCAAACCACCGAACCGGTCATAAAGTCGTATGTCACGCGACAAAGCTGTCAAATCGTCGAATTGAATTATGTGGAATTGAAGATAAGGGCAAAGCAATATCTTTCAAGCTTTGTAAAACCACGAGACCTTCTATAGAAGACCCTCTTCACCAATACCAGGTAGACCAGCCCCGGCAACATTAATATTTTGTCCCTGCATGACTCCTCCGCCGAAAGCCAGGTTGCGGCCAGCGGCAAGTTGGAAGTCAGGGTTGCACGGCGGAGAATGCGATTTGTGATACTTGAGACCATTCAAGTTCTTGTAACGTTTGCCACACACCTCGCAACGGTATGGTTTTTCTTTCTCCATGCCGAGTGTTCCAGGATACGGCGTCGAGGTTTCTGGGTTAACGATGGAAAAGGTGCCGTCTGCATTGTCATGTAATTGTTGGTTGTTATGGCCGTGCTGCGATGCTTTGTTAATTATAGTCCGTGGAGAGTCATATCCTGTAACGAAGAACTTACAGCTTTGTGATATTTCAACCCATTCTGGTTTTTGTACGCCTTCTCGCAGCCAATAACAGGGCAACGGAAAGGCTTTGGTTCTTCATTTGGAAGCAATGCGGTGGTATCGGGAACACCGGCCAGTAGTTGCTGTTCTCTGATTCTGCGGGCAATTTCACTATTTGGGCCGTACTGTGCCCCACTAAGCTTGAAATGAGCATTGGGTGTATTGATTCCCCCGGTCGGGCTGAATAAACGTTTCGCCGGCTCGTCAATACAGAGATCCACCATATCGTTGTTGGCAGCAAAGCGAGCGAATTGCTCCTGGCCTTGCATCATGTTGTTGGTCTGCATCCCCATGTCACCGAAGCCGCCAAGCACGCTCTCGTCAAGTTCGGCCGGGGTTCCCGGTGTGGACGAATCGGGCGTTGACCGGAACTGAGAGTTCTGAAGTGGATTCGACATCAAAGTCGGCGTATTCACCGAGGAAACAGTGGGGTTATTCTGCAACGACAGGGGGCGACCAGAAGCCACAGGGGTGCCGGGTTGAGATCCCTTGAAACCCTGATGTCCTGGCAGCATCGACAGATTCAAATGAGGCACCCTTTGATTGGAATGGCCAAATCCTCCCTGGTTGCCATTTTGTGGTTGAGGCGAAAACAGCTGCGACGATGCATCATGATCACCCATCGGCTCGTCCAACTCCATATCATCGATTGCATCGATATCGGAGTGCTGCTGAGGCGGCTGGCTCTGATTTAGTTTCCGCTGAGTGCTCTCGGGCTGTAATCCACGGTTCTGATTGTTGTTCTGCTGATTCTGTTGGTGCGCCATAGCAGCAGCAGCTAAAGCAGCCCGGCCGTCAGCTTGGCTTGGGCGATGCCCCTGGTGTGGCGACTTGGTGGCGTGGGCTTCTTCATAGTGCTGTAGGAGATCGTGAAGAGTAGGTAATGTCACACCACAGCAAGAAAAGTCTCGCATGAAGTTGGCTTCCAGCTTTGGGAGATAAGATGACGAATGAAATGAAGGTGACTGGAAAGTAAATGGGGATGTGCCAGTCATTAAAATACTAGACCACTTGATATTAGTTTCAAGCCATTCAAACTCATGTCAGGCGCATTTGTGGGATGCCGATAATAAATCCATGTGGGATATCGACCGCGCACCCATGAGAACTTACTCATCGCGTATCCAACTGCCAACAGAAACACCCCCCCAGCTCATACCGCCAACCAGGCTCCCGGCCAATGACTCACGGCGCTGTTTATCGCGGTTGGAACCAGACATGGAAATAGGTTTCGAGCCATTACCCCATTGTGCGGTCGCTGCGCCGATGGAGTCTTTACGAGGTGGTGGGGCTTTGAATATATTGATTCCAACGCCGCCCGCGTGAGATATGCTACCGGTCCGCTCGCCATTTCCAGCTCTCTGGAGAGCAGAGGTCAAATTCGACGCCTGTTGCCCAGGGGGAGAGACCGAGGTCTGGCGAGTGGCGATGTCAATTGGAGCTGCTGTATTGTTCATCATGCCCGAGGTCAAAGGGGGCGAGGGGGAAAGAGGGAAGTCGTAGTCTTCTTGAGGTTGCGAGTATAACTTCGTCGGGGTGAAATACGATGACTGGTCGTCGAGGAGACCAAATGAGTTTCGAGGCCACGAACAATCAGAGACCTTTTCCCTGCGCGACGGTACGCCAAACCCGAGTGGAGTGGTAACAGGGGTCGAGTCCCGAGAGGATGTGCGATCGTGTTCCCCAACGGAAGGAGAGTAATGAAGAGGAGGAGGACTGAGCGTCTCTGACAACCCAAGCATGAAGGAGTGAATCCTCGAAAGCGGCTTTGGGCGGGATCACACAAGGAGTGAGTGTCCACCCTCGGATGCTGTCCCGCTTTGGATTTCTCTGCGGAACCGTAACGGATTCGGGAACAGTGGCGGCACGTAACAATGAGTTAGTAATACTGCCGATGGAGACTCAGCGAAATGGTTCGAATGATGAGGAAGAAGTATGAAGATTAATTTTAGATAGAGGAGACGGTAAACAGAAGGACAAGACAACACGATAAGTCGATAACACCAGGGAAAAGAGCGGAAAGAGATGGAGGGGGGAAAGACTGGGCAAACTGGCGGAATCGAGTCATGGAAGGAAGGACTTCCATCATTCTAGTAATAATAACCTACCTTACCGGAGGCGACTTACTACCTTCACTGCCTTACGGAGCAGGTAACTGTTGGTAGGGTACCTATAAGTGCATCCATGGGTATCCAGTGTCTTTCCTGGTACGTATTACATCGTATTACACGGAGACATATTGCCAGACAAATCTGAAACCAAGTGGGCGAGTTAGTCATACTCCCTTGTCATCCCAGCATCGCTGTTTCTCCGTCTTCAATGGCAAAATTCTAGTCGGCCTCAGCTTCATTATGTATGGTTGTCCCAAAGAATCTTATGGGTTCGTGGATAGCTAGTCTATCTACTAAAGACAGCTAAACTAGGAGTTCGGCGTTCAACTGGTGCAATCGCTAAAGAATGGTGGATTCTCGACTGACACCGCTTGCAGCGCTCGACCACTCACGAGCTAGTACTAAAGAAGTAGTCTTCCTCAGAAGTCAATGACGATGGCGGTGGGATCAGAGTTCCATTTCTAAGGTACAGTACTAACTAGTGAGATGGAGTAATGGAGTAGCACTTCTTAGTACTAGTACAAAGTACTAGTACTAAACTCGTTACGTCTCTGTAGTAGGTTCTGTAATTTGAATCTAACCATCTTTGGGGGAATGACGGAGAGACTACTCCGTTAGTAACCACTTACCCTAACTAGTAACCTCCCGAGTTAGCCTGTAGTTCGACAGCGTACATTACGTTGCCCTTGCAACATTGACACATCAAACCCACACCCACCACACAAGATTATTTGTCAAGACAATGCTCCCGTGAACTGTCAAATGATTGGACTACAAGGATTCGAGAGACTTTAAGCAGAGTCATCTTGTTCGTACACATTACATAGCAATATGTAGGTATAGGTGACGTCTCCGCTATTGTGAGACGACTCATATAGCCGATGGGGCGAAGGGAGGCGGACTTGATCCGTGGTTCATTTACATGTGCTCTCTTGGGGCTGACAGATTGGATTGAATGTACTTTTCGGACTGCGGACTAGGGCATTCTTGACTAGATTAA